TTCTTAAAAAAAAAAAAAAAGCCCTAGAAAAGAGATGGCAGCAAGTAACCTGCCAAGAGCAGCCAACCAGCTACAAACTGAAGTCCACATTCCTATGAATGACGCCAAGCCAAGCACAATCTGGCCTCAGCTCACATCCTGGGAGCAACCACACAGCTGTGGTTCTCTGAACAGCTCATGCTGATTCACACTCTGTGCCCCTGTCTTTGCAGTTCCCTCTGCCAGATGTACTTTTTTCTACATTCTATCACTTTATCTCACTGTGCCGTGATTGTTCCAAGGGGAATTTCTCCGCTAGGCTACAAGTTCCTTGAGGACTGGAATTGTACCTTTTCATCTCTAATACTTCAGCCCCAATCATACTAACGTTGTGGGGCACCAGGCTGGCTCAGTCAGTGGAACATGCAACTCTTGATCTCAGGGTTGGGAGTTCAAGCCCCACGTTGGGTGTAGAGATGACTTAAAAATAAAAAAACTTGGGGCATTTGGGTGGCTCAGTCGGTGAAGCGTCCAACTCTTGATTTCAGCTCAGGTCATGATCTCAGGGTTGTGAGATCAAGCCCTGTGTAGGGGCTCTGTGCTAGGGCATGGAGCCTGCTTAGGATTCTCTCTCTCCTTCTCCTCTCCCTCTGCCTCCCCCCACCCACCCCTGCTCGCACTCTTTCTCTAAAAACAAACAAAACCCAACAGGTGCATTAATGAACAAACGAATTAATACCTGCCTACCGGAGCTCCTCAAAGGCAGGCTATCCGGAGAATGATCAAAAGATGCTTTTTTCTTTGTCCTCCTCCGTGGTGTTGCCATTGTTTCAGAAAATCTTAAAAAAAAAAAAAAAAAAAAAAAGTTTTTTAATTTAATAAGTAAACAGTAATACTTTCAACACTCTGGAGCAAAGTTATTATGTAGTTTACTAGGTAAGAGCATATGCTCTGCAGTTAGACTGCCCTAGTGTGAAGCCCTTACTTTCAAGTTACTTAATCTAAGACTAAGCTTCAGTGTTCCCGTGTATAAAATGAGCACAGCAAGTGTGTACCATCGTATGGTGTGAGGAGTAAGATAATCTATTTAAAGCACCAGACCTGGCAAACTATAAGTATTTAATAAATGCTGCCCATTAGTAGTACATACATATAAAAATATAAAAATAAGAAACACCACACAGATGACCAATAAACCAATTATACTGCTGTTTGTAAAATTCAATGAGTAAAAACACCTGGTTTCTGTCTGTCTGTCCCTCTTCATCTTACTGCCTTCTCAGTAGCTCCTGAATTTCAATCTTATTATACTCTACAAAGAAAACTCATTTGCTCCCTCTCAGTAAAATCTCAGGCACACTATCCAGTCACTACTGGATTTAGGACTGAGTTAGACAGTCACTGGTATCTTCTACTAGAAAAATTTACCAGCTTTCAAACTGGCCTAATAACAGCACAGTTAAATAAGCATCAAGAACCAACGTCTATAAGAAAAATAATGCATAGTAACCGGGGCGCCTGGGTGGCTCAGTCGGTTAAGCGACTGCCTTCGGCTCAGGTCATGATCCTGGAGTCCCGGGATCGAGTCCCGCATCGGGCTCCCTGCTTGGCGGGGAGTCTGCTTCTCCCTCTGACCCTCCTCCCTCTCATGCTCTCTGTCTCTCATTCTCTCTCTCGCAAATAAATAAAATCTTAAAAAAATAATAATAATAATAATGCATAGTAACCATGAAAGATTAAGAGTTATCGAATTAGAATTTTTCAATTAACTCAGAAATAAAATTGTTTACCGTAAGTATGCAGTAACAGATTTTACAATCATTACAATTCCTTCCCTGATCCATGTATTTACTACACACACACACACACACACACACACTAACATGAAAATAGGACATACCTATGGGTAAGGAATTTGAAAGTGGAAAAGTGTTATAAGATACAAATTCCACAAATATAATCTTCATCTTGGAGAAAAGCTTTGAGGGCTTTGTAATCTTACTGTTTCCTATCCATGAGTTGTACTAACATTCAGAAGAGCATTTTTCATGGATTATTAACATCACATGCAAAAACTTCATTCGCCACCTACAGACTTCGAGAAATCCTGACATCGGTGGTGAGGTAGAGAGCCTTCCTCTAACTCAGTCTTCACATTCTCAAAACCATTATGTTAGTTATGAACGCACAAACCCTATACATATTCTGAAATACATTACAGTTAAGCATTAAATAAGTTGCCTTTTGGTTCTATACTGCTCATTCGACTGCTGGATAAAGCACTAGTACTAACGTAAACAGAACTACTGTGTACCTATAATTCTTACACCCAAAGGCTTTCTGGATCACATTTATATTTTCAAAAGGCTGTCCAATCTAACAAATCTCTTTATATAATACATATGTTCTACATTATTCATAAAATAAGCCACAAAGCACATATAAACAAACATATAGTATATGTGAATGTATACTATGTGTAAGGATTGCAGCAAAAATATTTGAGTCTAATGTGGGGTTTAGGAGCATAAATATAATCAGCCTCGTTTCATGCAACATTTGGTCCTGTCACCCAGGAATACTGGCAACTCAAAAGAAAGCATAGTTTCTGGAAATTTCAACAAACATTTTAATCCAACTGTGTACTGGAAAATATATATCTAATTGCAATGAAGAATTATATAATTCAAGAAATGGTTAAGAGGAAAGGAAAACAGTGACTATAAAAGCCACTGTTAAATCTGTGTTCTCTAGGAAAAATACAAGACTTTTAGTGTTCGTACACTTCCACCTTTAAGTATATAATTAACGGTGATATTCCCTCATCCTTTTCTGACACTGTAATTTCTGTGTTTTCACTGTTGCTGGGGTTCTGGGGCTTAAGATGAAGGGAAAAATTTTTAAGTTGGAAGGACAACAGCTTTTGTACTTTTCAGTATAATCTTAGAAATACTGATCACAAGTGCTAACAATTAGTATACTGAACGTGGTCTCTCCTGGTTTTTCAAATTGATAAACACACCCAACTAAATATAACCAATCTGTTTCATGTTCAATATAATTATATAAGCATATTTCTTCCTAACTTTAAATGTATAGCTTTGGTTTTCTTTTAAAGTGACAAAAAGAGGGGTGCCTGGGTGGCTCAGCCGTTAAGCGTCTGCCTTAGGCTCAGGTCATGATCCCAGGGCCCTGGGATCGAGTCGAGCCCCGCATCGGGCTCCCTGCTCGGTGGGAAGCCTGCTTCTCCCTCTCCCACTCCCCCTGCTTGTGTTCCCTCTCTCACTGTGTCTCTCTCTCTCTGTTAAATAAATAAAATCTTTAGAAGAAAAAAGTGAGGTTTTGGGGGGAGGTAAATCAATGTCTCGATTTCTATTTTAATAATTCCCCAGGTTTTTTCTGAAGTAGCCTATTGAATAATTTTTTTAAAAAATGCAAAATTCACAAAAATACGAATCCAAAAAGACTTCAGGTTGGAACAAAAACGTGTAGCAGCATCAGCATAATTTCTAAAAATAAGACAAACTACCAGAAACTTCTTCAGGGACAACAGAAACAAGAATTTCCCTCAGGGCCGCTGCAAATACGGCAGGACTAGCACCTTACTGCACCCACGCTCGTGAAATTTTCCGAAATACGGATCCCGTTCAACTGCCTCCACGCTTTATTGACTACTTTCTCTGCCCGAAAGACAATTTAATTCTTGATGGCCATTTTCTCCTATACGTCCTGAAGAAACCTTCCCTCCCGTCCCCTTCTTCCACTACAAAAGGTTAAAAAAAAAAAAAATTGAGCGTCGCGTGGTGTGCATGCCTGCAGAGTGACGCGCTCCCCGAACGGAGTGGTCTGGGGGCTCCCGCACCCCACCCCTGGGAACGCTGGGCCTCCATCTGGCTCGATCCCACATTACGGAACCTTAACTTTCTACAGCTGGGCCTGCCTGCCTGCCTTCCTCTTTCACCTGCGGGCGGCCGGGCTGTTGACTACCAGCTCCGGTAACCGGGCCGCCCCCTCCGGGCGCTCAGGCCCCGAGCAGCTAGCCCAGCCGCCTGGCAAAGCCGCTCGGGGCTGAACGCGTGGTGGCGGCGCCCGGCTATTACTACAACACCTGCGAGGCTGGGCGGGCTCCTCGGGGGGCAAGAACACGCCCGGGAGTTCCTACCCCCGGACCGGGGGCTCTCCGCGGGCCGCAGACACTCCCCAGCTGACAGGGCTCTGACAGTGCCCAGGAGGGAGCCCCCACGTTCCCGGCGCCCGCTGCAGCCGCCTCGCTCTCCGAAAAGCCTTCTCGTCTCTTCTCCCAAGTCGGAGAAGCAACAGCCTCCGGGGCTCACCTTTGCGCCGGAGAGGTGAAAGGAGTCGGGGGGAGAAGGCGCCGCTGCACAGAAAGGAAGCACTGGGGGGGGCGGTTAGGAGAGACCCTCAACCCCGCGACGAATCGGGGAAGCCCGTCGCTGCTACAAGCCAGCCCGGGAATCCCCCCCTTCCCTCGGACCCCGCACCCCCTTCCCAATCCGGGGAGGGCGGAGGCAGCCCCCGGTGCACCGGTCCACCTCCCACCCGGGCGAGGGGCGCTGCACAGGGGGAGAAGGGCAGCCTGCACCCCAGCCAAGCCGCTTTGTGCGGAGCTGTCACCCGAAATCCGCCGCCGCCCCCGCGCCCGCCCCCGGAGCCGCGTGCCCCGCACCTCGGAGCGCGGGCGAGACGCCGCGCGCCGCCCGGGGCTGCCGGCGCCTCTCCGGAGCCGCGCGCCGCGCGCACAGGACAGCAGGATCCGCGCCGCGAGCCGCAGCCCCAGCTCGGCCGCCGCCGCCGCCGCCGCTTCCGCCCCTGTCACGGCGTGACCCGGGGTGGGAGGAGCCGGCGGGACCAGGGAGGAGTAGGGTCCCCGCCTTCGCCTTCGCCGCGGCGCTCGCCCCGCCCTGGCCATTTCCGCCGCTGCGCAAGCCGGGGCGCCTGGGGCGGGGGGCGGGATCTGCGCGCGGGGGGCGGGAGGGGGCGGGAGGGGGCGGGCCCGGGGCGGGGCGCGCGGGCCAGGGCCCTCGGGGCGGGCGGCGGCGCGGGAACCAGCGGCTGGCAGCCGGGCGCGCGCGAGGTAGGCTTCCCTGGGCGCAGAGAGGGTGCGGGGGAGTTGGCACGGCTTGCTAGGTGCGAGCCTGTGACCGGGATTCTGGACTGGGGCATCCTGACCAGCGTGGGCAGCCCAGCAATCCGCGCCCCGAAATGGGGTTCGGGAAGCAGAATGGGGCCTGGGAATAACGAGGTCGGGCAATGCATGACCTGAGTTCATGATTTAAAGCGCCCCCAAAGCATCGCTCTGTATTAGTGGTTTTTAAGAAAAGAGAAGTACTTGCTAAATAGTGAGTGATGCTCTGGGGGCGAGGGTGGGGGCGGGGGATTGGGAACTGGGGTGCTGTAAATATTTTGTCTTGCTCCAAGGTTGTTACACACGTGTATGCATATCTAAAAATTCACTGAGCCATACTCAAAATCTGCGCACTTTAGAGAAGTTATTCAATTTAACATTTAAAAATAAATCTAGGGGCGCCTGGGTGGCTCAGTCGTTAAGCGCCTGCCTTCGGCTCAGGTCATGATCCCAGGGTCCTGGGATCGAGCCCCGCATCGGGCTCCCCGCTCGGCGGGAAGCCTGCCTCTCCCCCCTCCACTCCCCCTGCTTGTGTTCCTCTCTCACTGTGTCTCTCTCTGTCAAATAAATAAATAAAAATCTTTTAAAAAAATAAAAATAAATAAAAAATAAAATAAAAAAAATAAAAATAAATCTAAAGCAGAAACTTGTTTTTTTGGAAAGGTGACAGAGGAAGCCAGACTTGAGAGTCCATCCAAAGAGTACTTAGGGGGCCAAACTGGCACATCTGCTGCTTCCGTGTGTGGGTAGGAACAGTTGTGAACTTTGCCTTTCCTGATTCTTATAATTTGCACTTTTATCTTGTTATAGAAAGAAACTTTTTATTTCTCTCGAAAAGCACGCGGGCAAGTACATGTTGAGATGCTACTAGAACAGCTAAGAAGTGGTTAAGTTATATACATGATGTTAACTTACATTTCAAGTTTGTGTGAAAGAGAATTGTCCAATTCCAGGTTGCACTGGCTCTAGGATGAAATTATGCTTCCCTTTTGTTTTGAGTAGAGAACTGCTTTATGAAAGCACAATCTCAGGTTCCAGTTTCTGACTGAAAATGTAGATGGGAAAACTGTAACTCTCTTTTGCTTTTCTGTACCCAATATAATCAGATGCTTCCCTCTGACCTCTCAGAAAACTGAGTCACCTCCTGACATCAACAGGACCTTGCAAAAGCATGTGTTAACAAGTATTTTCTGAGAAGTGAATTTATGTTCCCAATTCCAAAGGGGCGGGGGGGTGGGGTGTGCCTTCTCCTTAAATCCTAAGGCCCCTGGAACCAAATTTTGCAATAAAGGGAACTTTTCCTGAAATACCTGCTTGTAGGTGATGTTTGCTGTTCTCACTGATAAATCATTAAATTAGACCCACCAATAATACCATGCTAGTACAATCCAAACTAAATTAGTATCACGATTCAAAGGGAATGTTAGAATTAATCAAGTTATATTGTCCTTAGTATTACAGAGTTCACATTGAAAGGACAGACATTTTCCTCATACCTTCAGATAGATTTGCAGTTATGTTTAGGTGTCCTTTTTTTCTCAGTTCCTTTGTGTGCATTTTCCCATGCAAAAAAGGAACTACAAGAAAATTATTTGAAAATACAAACTTATGGAATAGAGATAGGACATCAAACCCACATATCTACTTTCACTCCCTCCTGAAACCCCATCAAAACAACAACAGGGTTTTTTAAAGGCATAAATCACTAGGGTAGGGAGAACAGATGAGGAGACAAATGCAATAAAATTTTGAAATCCAGAAAGCAGATGGGCAAGTGGTAAAGGATTTTGCAGACTGAAGAAAGCTAAATTCTAAACCAGCAACGGGGAAAGCCAATAAACAACCCTATTTGCGTTATAGAAACCCCAAATGCTCAGGAATTAGTGGTACCAGGTTCCTCCAGGAGGTGGAAGGGGTATGATTAAAACTAGAAGCATTGCTTGAAATTTTGGTTCAGAAAAGGCTAAATCCCCAGATCCCTTTCCCAACTCCCTGCAACAAGGTAACTGCCTGTCTCTAGGGGCACCAGCAGAGTTTGGGGGGAGGCTTTATTCCCTGCAGAAGGTAAGGACTCTCTGGACTGGGGAGAGACAAATACACAGTTGGGGCTTTGAGTACCATACTGAAAATGGAGACTAGCTGAACACAGGCAAACCAAATGTTGGGACCCTCTCTCACTTCTATCCTTTTCTCATGTGAGTATTCGACCATGGCCCCCAAGGACTTGATCCTTACAACAGGGGTTGGGAGAGCCATCTATGGAAAGTCTGACCAGTCAAAAGAAAATAAAAATAATGCTATCTAGGTTTCCACATGAAATCCATTTATATCATCCTTCCAGTGAAGCTTGCGGTCAGTGAGCCCACCCACATACTTAAACATCTAATCAGCTTTTTAGTACTACTCTTAAACATGAGCAGGTAATAATAATTGTAAGCATTTGAGGAAAGTCACTAGTTGGAAAGACAGAAGACAAACCAACAGAAAAAGTGACTTGTAAGCAGCAGACTATGCAGATAAAATATTATATCCATTCTATATATGAAATAAGAACAAAATAATATAAAAAGAACATCAGAAACAAAAAAAAAATATGCTCTTGAAAATTAAAGCCTTGATAGCAGGAGAAAAAAATTTTATTTAAAAACTAAATAGAAAGGTAGTAAGATAAAAATTAAGGGGCGCCTGGGTGGCTCAATTGGTTAAGCGACTGCCTTCGGCTCAGGTCATGATCCTGGAGTCCCTGGATCGAGTCCCGCATTGGGCTCCCTGCTCGGCAGGGAGTCTGCTTCTCCCTCTCCCACTCCCTGTTTGTGTTCTCTCTCTCGCTGTGTCTTTCTCTGTCAAATAAATAAATAAAATCTTTAAAAAAGAAAAAAATTAAGGTAGTCGCTGAGAAAATGGAGCAAAAAGAGGAAGAGCTGGAAAATAGAAAAAAATATGAGAAATTTATAATACTAGGTCATGAGGTTCTACAGACAAATAAAAGGGGTTCCAAAAAGAAATAGAAACAAAAGAGGGACATAAATTGTTATGTGAATAATTCAAGATTTTTTCCAGCATTGAGAGATAGGACCTTCCAGATTAAAAGAATTCAGCCAAGTGGTTGAAAATAGACCCAAAAGAAGGCATAGAATTATGAAATTGGAAAAACTAGGGGCAAAGAAAAGCTTTGCAAGAGAAAAAAGCATATTGGCCTCATGGAAAATATCAGGATCAGAACGTCTTTGAACTTAAGCAATATCTCTGGAAACTAGAAGACAATGGAATGACTTTTTCAAAATTGAAGAAAAAATGGTTTCTGACCAAGAATTCTATACCCAGCAAAACTACACATCAATCAGAGAAAGATGGCAAGGCAAAGATGCTGTATCATATGATCTCACTGATACGAGGAATTCTTACTCTCAGGAAACAAAGTGAGGGTTGCTGGAGTGGGGGGGATGGGAGGGATGGGGTGGCTGGGTGATAGACATTGGGGAGGGTATGTGCTATGGTGAGCACTGTGAATTGTGTAAGACTGTTGAATCACAGACCTGTACTTCTGAAACAAATAATACATTATATGTTAAAAAAAAAAAAAACACATCAAGAATTGAGAATAGTATGAAGACATGCAAAGTCGCAAAAACCTTTTCTCCTATGCACCCTTCCTCAGAAAGCTGTTGGAGGTTGTGCTTCACCAGTATAAGGACACTTAAAAAAAAAAAAAAAGGAAAGCATAGAATAAAAGAAGCAGGAGATTCATCAAAAGATAAAGAACTCTCCAGAGTGATGATCAAGAGAGATCCCAGAATCCTAGCTATGCAATAAGAGTGGAGAGCATCTAGGTCAGAAGTCTCTGGAGAGTCTTCTCCAAGAGGGTGATATTGGTAGGATATCTGATAACTGAAGAGATTGAGAGTGTATTGATAGGATATTGGGATAATTGGTGGAGCTTGGAGTTAAATTAGTGACCAGTACATAGGAATCTTATAAATGAAAAACCAAGGCAGTGATTAACTGCAGAATAAAAAAGTTGTACAGAAAAGGAAAAGTAATCATAGAATACTATGTGGTTTTGCCGTGAATAATATTTACCTGGTCATAATCGTGTGTACCCCAAATATTTAATCAAAAATAGGCTGTGTTTATGTGGGGGCACCTGGCTGGCTCAGTTGGAGGAGCAAGCAACTCTTGATCTTGGGGTTGGGAGTTTGAGCCCCACGTTGGATGGAGAGCTTACTTAACTAAATAAATAAACTTTAAAAATAAATAGGCTGTGTCTATGTTGAAAGGATGGAGAAAATGAGAAGGTGGTGTGTGTGTGTTGGGAAGTTGAAAGAGAGCAAAATGGGTATCTTCTCTCCATGCTACCTAGAAATGAAAAACCAGGAAGATAGAAAATAAGCATGCTGTTTTGAGATACAGAGATTTCAAGACTCAGCTAAAAGAGTTCAGGATGGTTGCCTTTCTCATTGGGAACAGAGACTGCTATCTTTATAACTCTGAAACTCTTGGGGCGCCTGGGTGGCTCAGTTGGTTGGGTGACTGCCTTCGGCTCAGATCATAATCCTGGAGTCCTGGGATCGAGTCCCACGTCGGGCTCCCTGCTCGGCGGGGAGTCTGCTTCTCCCTCTGACCCTCCCCCTCTCATGTGCTCTCTCTCTCATTCTCTCTCTCAAATAAATAAACAAAATCTTAAAAATAAATAACTCTGAAACTCTTTAAATCATATGCATTATAATGGATAAAAAAATAAGTAAACTTCAAATCAAATGTTAAAAACTAAAGAGTGAGATGCTAGGAAAAATTCTAAGCTTACAAAAATGATCAAGTGTGGCCTGCCTGTTTCTTCTTTTTTTTTGTCCTCTCCTTTTTTAAAAACTTAAGCCCTTTGGACTCTGACACTAAGACATAATTCTGTTTATTTAAGCTCCTTCCTAATATGTAATATAAGGTATGCCTCTACCATCAGACTCACTGGGAAGTAATTTTTCAGATGGTTTTTCCTTGGATGTTGAAATATTGTTAAAAGCCAGACTGCTAAGGATAATCGGTTTTTCTTTCATTCATCAGTAGAATTGCAATGCCCTTAAATGACAACATTGCAAATATTTTCTGCACAGGCATTGGAGTCATCCGCTTGCAAGGCAAAGGTGTCTCTGCAACCATGGATGATACAAGAACTTTACTTGACGTTAAAGAGTACCCCGATACCGAGGTACAGAAAGGCCGAGTATTGACTCTGGAAGAATGGCAAGAAAAGTGGGCGAGCCGCAAAATTGGATTCCATCAAGAGCAAGGACATCAGTAAGAAATGTTTGGTTTATGATAGAGAAATGCTCTATCAGAAACTGGCTTTGGAAATAGAAATAGTAATATAGGTACACATTATTGGAGTGATTTTACAAAGCACGTGTTTAGTTTTTCATGTTTTAGCATCTCAGGCACGTCACGGGTTAATCAGCAATCTTACCTCTTCCCAGGGCATATAAATAATAGTGTGACTTACAGTTGCAGGCATCCGAGATTTATGAAATACATCTTTCTTTTAAGCCCCCATAGCATCTGCGTATTGGTCATGCATGTTTATATATACAGCAGATGCCCACATTAATGTGTATATCTCTTTATACTGAGAAGTGGTGGTGTTCTTTGTTTGACGGAAAGAGAGAGAGAACACAATGGGGGATGGGGGGCAGAGGGAGAGGGAGAAGCAGACTCCCCACTGAGCAGGGATCCCGATGTGGGCTCGATCCCAGGACTGTGGGATCATGACCTGAGCTGAAGGCAGACACTTAACTGACTAGCCACCCAGGCGCCCCATGAAAAGTGGTGGTGTTCTGGCTTTGCTTTCCGACAGCATGTGTTCAAACGTAAAGTGTTATCTATGTGGTGGAGGAAGAGAAGCTGAGAGAAGTTAATACGTGAGCAAGGGTGTTGAGCAGTGTGTTAGTAGTAGTAGGCTTCGGAACAGCAGGGGTATATCTGGGCCACACTGAGTGGTAGATGGGGCATCTTCCCAGAGCCATTGTATGGGTTATCTTTGTCATGTGGGTGACCTTAGAAGAACCATGTGTCTACAGGGGGAATTAAACTTCCAAGAGCTTCAGAGTCTGAGACCTGAGTCCATGTTTAGAGAGCTTCCCATAAAACGAATGTTGAAGAATTCGATGAGTCCAGAGGCTCCCCATCTCTCTTTCTCTCTCTCTTTCTCTCTTTTACACACACACACGCACGCACACACACACATACATACATATTCAGGAAATTAATAAAGAATTTTCAAAGCATCAAGAAAAAAGAACTTTAAGTTACTAATGAGGAAAGCCCCAGGGTTAAGTCAGATTACCTACTCACTAGCTATGTGACGCAGCGACTTAGTTCACCTCCCTCTTCCTTCATATATAAACTAGAGAGAATAATAACGAATGTTTTGTTTTCTACTCTGTAAAGTTGTGGGGAATATTCAGAGATAATGCATGAAGAGTACTTAGCGTCATTCGAGTATAGTCCTTCCCTCCGTGTGTTGGGCTAACGAAAACAAAAATATATTTTTTCCTCCCCAGGCTATTAAAGAAGCATTTGGATACTTTCCTTAAGGGCGAGAATGGACTGAGAGTATTTTTTCCTCTTTGTGGAAAAGCAGTTGAGATGAAATGGTAAGAGCAGATAAGCATTCACACACTTCCTTGTCTTGATGACAAATATATTGGGTGAATATTTAATAGGATATAGGTTTAAAAATTCCATTCTCAGGAAATGCACAGGGATTCTTTATTTTTAGTAGACTATTACTGTGGGTTCATGGAGATAATTTCTCAAACAGTGAGACACAGCACAAACCACTGGTGTGGTCTAGTCTTTCTGTATTGAGTTGCTAAGAAAAAAAAAATAGAGTTTGGAACCAATGGTGGGGGTCTCAGGGGTACAGAGGACCAGCCTCCCCTCTTATATCTGCAACATCTTTGTGCACAGTTTCATTTTCGTAGGTGGTTTAGGAATTTGGCTGAGTTAGTTTTAGATATTTTTAATAGAGGTGGACAGAAAAATTCAAGATGAATTACAACTCTTTGGCAAGACGGTATGTAGCCCACGGTTCAGCCCAGCTCTCCCCTCCCACTACGAGCACAACTTGCAGCTGAGCATTTGGGACACGGCAGCTGTGGAGTCAAATTCTAGTGTGGCCACGAAATTGAGAATATTTAGACTATATCATTGGACTTACACCTAACCAACTCGCTGAACCAGAAGAGTTGCTTTGGAAACTACTTGCAAGGAAAACATTAACTCTATGGACAGACTGTCTTATCGCCGTGTCATTAAGTGTTAACAATCTAGCACTAGCAGAGGTTTTGAGACAAGATTAGGAAATGGAATGATAAGACAGACAATTAAATGTGATTGTCGAATATTTGGGGTCTAACGTCATTTGTAACAAAAATACCAGAACTAAGCTATTACAATTGCAGGTAAGCTTTTATATTAGAGGATTTTTCATTTATATATCTAATTTGTGTATTGAGGTCTGCCCAGATACCAGATGTAAATAGATAACTATGAGGCAAGGCCCCAAAGCATTAAAATAAAACGTTTAACACATTTCTTTAGGTTTTTTTTTTTAAGGACGATGTAGTCAAATATAATCCAGCCTGTCAGTCTATAATAGGCTCTGCTTTAATTTTCAGTGTAAATAAAAATCCTCACAGCCAGGGCGCCTGGGTGGCTCAGTCAGCTAAGCATCTGCCTTCGGCTCAGGTCATGATTCCAGCATTCTGGGATCGAGTCCCGCATCGGGCTCCCTGCTCAGCGGGGAACAAGCTTCTCCCTCTCCCTTGCCCCTCCCCCTGCTTGTGCACGAGTTCTCTCTCTCTCTCAGATAAATAAATAAAATCTTTTTTTTTTTAAGATTTTATTTATTTATCTGAGAGAGAGAATGAGATAGAGAGCATTAGAGGGGGGAGGGTCAGAGAGAGAGGCAGACTCCCTGCTGAGCAGGGAGCCCGACGTGGGACTCGATCCTGGGATTCCAGGATCATGACCTGAGCCGAAGGCAGTCGCTTAACCAACTGAGCCACCCAGGCGCCCTAAATAAATAAAATCTTAAAAAAAAAATCCTCACAGCCAGTTTGGATAACTTTGTATGGAGAATTAAAAAAATACTAAATTTTCCTCAAGTAGAAGCACTTGGCTGAGTCGGAAGAGCATGCAGCACTCAATCTCAGGGTCATGAGTTCAAGCCCCACATTGGGCATACAGCCTACTTAATAAAATAAAATAAAATAATTCAATTATTTAATAAATGAATGAAGAATAAAGCATTAAAAGATATTCCCTGTATATTAACTTACATATTTAGACAAGTTATTAATATTTTTTTAAAGATTTATTTATTTATTTGAGAGAGCGAGAATGAGAGAGAGAGAGCACATGAGAGGGGGAGGGTCAGAGGGAGAAGCAGACTCCCTGCCTAGCAGGGAGCCCGACGCGGGACTCGATCCCGGGACTCCAGGATCATGACCTGAGCCGAGGGCAGTCGCTTAACCAACTGAGCCACCCAGGCGCCCCAATATGTTTATTTTATTTTATTTTATTTTTTAAGATTTTATTTATTTATTTGACAGAGAGAGACACAGCGAGAGAGGGAACAAAAGCAGGGGGAGTGGGAGAGGGAGAAGCAGGCTTCCCACCGAGCAGGGAGCCCAATGCGGGACTCGATCCCAGGACCCTGGGATCATGACCAGAGCCGAAGGCAGAAGCTTAACCGACTGAGCCACCCAGGCGGCCCCAATATGTTTATTTTAGAACTGTAAACAGTTTATGCTCTGATCTTGTTGGAAGTGGTAGTCTTATGTGGGCAATAGATACAATCAGTTCCACTCTACCTCTTGTTTTGGAAAATGCTAACTTCACTCGGACCCCACTGATAAATCAGGGAACAAATTGGGCATGACGTGAATTTCACATTCGCTTATGTGTCATTTCGTGTGCAAGAAGCATGAGGTAAGAGCAGAAAACCACACGCAGCTGAGTGCAGTCTTGTGTGAAGGGACAGGACACACCCATGCACGGGCCTCCAGCAGCTCCCGGACAGCCCGGCTGACCTGTGTGCTGTGAGCCACTCCCACCCACAGCTGGTGTTAGAACTTTCCAGTAATCCCCCTCAGTCAGTGCACAGTAACTCACAAGCTATGGCCCTTCCAACGCTTTGGGGTTTTTATATATTTTGTAACCATTTAACATGTTTAAAACACTGTGCCAGCATTTCTGTTAGGTTCCTAGCTCTCTCTCTTTTTTTTTTTTAAGATCTGATTTTTTTAAAGTAATCTCTGCACCCAACATGGGGGCTTGAACTCACAACCCGCATGGAGATCAAGACTCACACGCTCCAGCCAGGCACCCCCTATCTTTCTTCTTTTTATTTTTATTTTTATTTATTTATTTTTTAAAGATTTTATTTATTTATTTGAGAGAGAGAGAATGAGAGACAGCACGAGAGGGAGGAGGGTCAGAGGGAGGAGCAGACTCCCCGACAAGCAGGGAGCCCGATGCGGGACTCGATCCCAGGACTCCAGGATCATGACCTGAGCCGAAGGCAGTCGCTTAACCAACTGAGCCACCCAGGCGCCCCTCTTTCTTCTTTTTAATGTGGCACTGACAAGGTTGTTTTTTTTTTTCTTACACATTATTTATTCAGTTTATTTCTAAAGAGTTAACTGTATATTTTTGAGAAAATCCTGATTCACAGAGGTAAGTTATGGCAAATGTGTAACAGCTTTCTTAAAAATTTAATTAAGGTATAATTGACATATAACATTGTGTTAGTTTTAGGTGTATGAGATAATGATTTAATATTTGTATATATTGTAAAATGACCACAATAAGTCTAGTTAACATCCATCATTGGACGTAGTTACAGAATTTTTTTTCTTATGATGAGGACTTTTAAGATCTATTCCATTAGTAACTTTCAAATATTATTAACTATATTCCCCATGCTGTGCATTAATTACATTCCCATGGGGCTTATTTATTTCATAACTGGGAATTTTGACCCCCTTCGCTCATTTTGACCACCCTCCACCCCCACCTCTGGCAACCACCAGTCTGTTCTCTGGATCTACGAGCTTGGTTGGTTTTTTTTTTTTTTTTTTCTTTTTTTAGATTCCACATAGAAGTGAAACCATGCAGTATACGTCTTTTTCTTTTTACTTTAACTTACTTCATTTAGCACAGTGCCCTCAAGGTCCATTCTTGTGGTCACATGTGGCAAGACTTCATTCTTTTTTAGGGCTGAGTAATAGTCCGCTGTGGCTAAGTTTTTCAATGTTGTGCCCCACTCCCCATTTTCCCCATAAGCCTTTCAGTTTTTATCGCATGATTTTGCATAGCACAGTGATTTTTTTAGGGATGCCTGTGTTGCATTATAGCAGAACTGATTGTATGTGTTTATTTAATTTGATAAAAATCAGTACTATGGTACTAGCACTATTTCTTCTGGAGTCCAAGATCCCAAGACTGTGGATTCTGTAATTATAAAGCTTACCAGGAAAACACTAGTTATCTGCATATGGCAGGTAGATACATTTCTGGATAGTGCTTATTGTAAGTAAATGGAAATGGTAAGATTATAGGAATGGATGCTCATGTTCTAGAGCCCTATTCTCTAGCATGATGGCTACTAACCACATGTGGCCATTTCAGTTCAAACTGAGTCACACGAGGGCGCCCGGGTGGCTCAGTCTATTGAGCCTCTGACTCTGGATTTTGGCTCAGGTCGTGATCTCGGGGTAGTGAGATGGAGCCCCACTGAGTGCAGAGCCTGTTTGAGGTTCTCCCTCTCCCTCTGCCCCTCCCCCCCACACTCGCGTGCACGCGCACTCTCAAATAAAGTCTTTAAAAAAAATAAAATAATGAACTAAACCACACTCGCCACATCTCAAGTGCCCAATAGCCAATGTGGTTAGTGGCTGCTGGATTGGACAACTCCATCAGCACAGAGGGTTTTGATGGACAGGGCTGATTTAGAGAAATTAAAAAGCATTTCTAATCCACAGGATGCTTTTTTTTTTTTTTAAGATTTTATTTATTTATTTGACAGAGACGGAGACAGCGAGAGCAGGAACACAAGCAGGGGGAGTGGGAGAGGGAGAAGCAGACTCCCCGCCGAGCAGGGAGCCCGATGCGGGACTCGATCCAGGGACTCCGGGATCATGACCTGAGCCGAAGGCAGTCGCTTAACCGACTGAGCCACCCAGGTGCCCCACAGGATGCTTTTAAATTAGAAACTCTTTTAATCAAACCCATTTGTAAGTAGATCAACATTTTAAGGTAGAGTTTTCCAAATTTTTAATTTTTTCCTAAGGCCATATAAATCAGTTTTTCAGAATTCCATGTACTATTAGGTTTCAGAATAAACAGACCCACTTCCCTATAAGTTCTATGAACCCCTGTGACCCCGAATTCATATAAATCCCTTAAAATTAAGGGAAATCTTTATTGGAATATACCCTTTTATGTAGTTCTGTATTTGGAAGGAAAATGTAAGTGTAAATATATGATTTCATGCAGGTTTGCAGACCTAGGACACAGTGTCGTAGGTGTGGAAATCAGTGAACTTGGGATACGGGAATTTTTTACAGAGCAGAATCTTTCTTACTCAGAAGAACCCATCATGGAAATTCCTGGAGCCAAAGTTTTCAAGGTTTGTCTTGTTTTTGGTAAATAATGATTTCCATGTCCCCGTAAGAAAGATTTTTCTTTGCCTGGGTTACTACGACTGTCACATGACCCCACTTTCTCACACAGATTCACCTGAACCTTACAGAGTTTAAGGAGCTGGGGCTGAAAAAGATAGGTGATCACTAGATACGCACAAATATATATAACCGCTGATATCAAAGTCTATCTAGACTCATGGCTTTGGTTTGGGTTTGTTTGATTTTTTTAATTTATAAACAGGCATTTCTGAGAATGTCTCGTGCCACGCATAAGACATTGAAGAGATAAAAAGAGTCCCTGTCCTAAAGAATCTCTTCACTTAGGAGAGAAGAAAAACAGAGAAAGCTGTTTGTCATACACAGAGCTAAGTGTAATGACACAGGGTATGAAGGGAATAAAGAGGAGAGTCCCCTAACCCACCCTCGGGATGCTTCCTGAAGCATCGTGACAGGTAGAGCCCGGACAGGCAGACAGGCAGGCCCGGGCGTGGTGTCAGATGCCCTGGGAGGCTGGTCCTTCATCCTGAGCAGTAAGGATTTTAAGGAGGAGCACGACCCGCCTGGATTTTCTTTTGAGACGAACCATCCTTGGGGCCTCAAGGGAGGTGACCGCCTGGAAGAGAGACCAGATGAGAGGCTGTGAGCAGAGGTCCGGGGAAGAGCCCTTGAAGGCTTGCACTCAGAGGGCCATAGGGCATATAGAGGAACAGACAGATCAAAGCAATATTTAGGCTGTCAGACGGACAGGATTTAGGATTAACTGAGTGGGGATGAAGCGGGGAGCTGACTTTGCATCTCCAGCCCAGATGACTAGAATGGATGGCAGAGAATAAAAGAGAAGCAAGCTGAAGAGGCAGAGAAAATGAGTTTTGTTCTCAGAATGATGAGTTTAGGGCACCTGGTTGGCTCGGTGGATAAAGCATGAAACTCTAAGTCTCCGGATTGTGAGTCCGAACCCCACGTTGGGCGTAGAAATCACTTAAAAAGAAAAAAAGATGATGAGTTTAAGAGAGCTGTGGAATGGCGAAGGTGTAGCTGGCAAATGGCTTTATGTCTCTGGGGCAGTGGGGGGTGTTTGGGCTGGAAGTGATAGATTTGGGAGTTGTCTTCATCCTGTGACCACAACGAGCCCTGAGAACTGCTTCGCCCACTGGGGGTAAGAACGCGGGAATAGAAGACCACCCAAATGAGAACACGAGAGGCTGTTTTATCAGAGAGGCCAGCTACTTGTGGTCAGAGGCTCAGAGGCAGGCCGGGGGTGGGAGAGCTTTGTGCTGGAAACCACAGGGAGGCTGATTGGAGGCTGTTGGCTTGGGGAGGCGGAGGTGGGCTATGGAGAGGGGGCATCCTGCGGGATTGGTTTGGGGAGCGTATTTGGCTTTCTCTGGTTGATCTTGAGTTGGAAGGGGAAAAGGGGATAAAAATTAGGGAGGCTGGCAGTCACTGACAAGTCATCGAAGCCGAGACTGTGGCTTGGCTTCCCAGGCTGGCTGCCACAATGGGTCCAAGCTCTCTGGTCCTACGTGGTCTGGTCATCGTCCCTGTTGGTACATTCAGTCTCTCACAAGGTACTCTGTTTTCTAAATACTGAAACTAATGGCAGGTCAGTAGGAGGCTTAATAGTACTTTATTTTACAGCTTCCTCCCACCCTGTTCTCAAATCATCCCAGGAGTTTACTCAGTCCGAAGAGGCTATTCCTGGAGCAGTGGTTCTCAGCCTCGGGGGCACATTTGCAAAGGCCTGTGGATCTTACAAAATTCCCAGTCCGAGGGCTCACCCCAGACCCATTAAATCAGAATCTTTAGGGGTGGGGCTCAGCATCAGTACTGTTTAAAGCTCTGCAAAGTTGAGACTCGCTGCCTGTCCTCTCTGCCACCTCGCCCACCCCTCTGTGTTGACCCCCACGGTGCTTCCAGACTGGTCTTTAGAGACCCTTCCTCTATTCGTCAACCCCTGTTGGTGCCTCAGTTCAGGATACGATCCAATAGTTGCATGTCCTGACCTGTCCTTCCTTGCCCTTCACCCTCACCCCCACCCCCCAGGCTTCTCACATCCCCTGGACCCAGAGGAATCCATGTCTGTTTACGCCCCCTGGACTGCACCCCCAGCTCCCCCACCCTGTAATGTTAGCAGATGCATCCAGACACCCTTTCAGAGGCTGCCTCTTGTTGAGCTTTGCCCGGTGCTCTCAGGCAGCTCCCTGCTCCATCTTCTGAGTCCCTATGTTCTCGGGCATGCAACCAGAACGGCAGGCCATCCTGTCCTTAATGTGTCTCACGCCCACGCCTTTCTGCTCTACCGGGCTGTCCTCCCTGCGGTCAGATTCACACCCACTCTCTAGAACCCAGGGCAGTCCTGTCCACCAGGGGCTCAGGCAATAAGTGCCCACTAGCCGATGAATGAAAGCGAGAAAAGCCAGGAGTCCACACAACTGGACTTTGTATGAATGACTTTAAAAGTATCTGACCTTCCTCTGTCAGCCTGCCTGGTCGTTGGCTGACCAGTTTATTTACCTTTAACAGTGTCAAAATATCAGACTCTGCTAAAGTTAATATTGCTAAAACGGAACAAGCTCTGAAAATAATAGCTAACTCGTCTTCAGGGTTAACCTCTCTATGATTTTTCTCCTTGAGTTGATCCCAAAGAACCCCAGACAGGTCTTAAAAAAAACAACCAAACAAACAAACAAACAAAACTAAACTAAAAAACACAGTGCCATTAAAAAAAAAATTATTTGTAGGAAGGTTTTATTTTCCGTTAAAAAAATTCTTTGCAGTACAATTACATTCTTCATGTTTAATTACATATTCTCTCCCCACCACCTTTGCTGTGCTTTGCTACCCTCTTGTCTTTCCTTAACCATCCAGGTAGCTCCTAACTAAACAGCATTTTTTTTTTTCTTGACTTTCATTACAGAGCTCTAAAGGGAACATTTCGTTGTACTGTTGCAACCTTTTTGATCTTCCCAGGTAGGACTGAATCCCACGTCTGCACTTTGAAAAACTTGAGTGCTCACCAGGCAGTGCTGGGTGAGGGAGGGCTTTTGATTACCTCATCCACTTGCGGTAGCATGGATGTGAGTCTTTATCCTGCAGTGCTTTGGACCGCGGCCTACCTGTTGGCACACTTGATAGCTTCGTCCCTGGATAGCTTCCAAAATATGGAGGACATTGTTATGACTCGAGGCAGGTCGGGAAAAGGAAGGACGAGCAAGACAGTGTCTTCGCTTTCCACCTGATCGGTAATAGGAATCTCCAAGTGCAGAAGGTGGTGGTGATACCTTATCTCCTGAAAGGCCCTGATACTTCCTCAGGGGGCCGGGAGACGGTGGTCCCAAATTGTCCTGTAGCTCTCCCCTGTGCTCCCAAGTCAGAGAAGAAGGGGGAGGCTACTGCCACCATCTCCTAAAGCTGGAAGGAGCTCCTCACACCCACGTCCACACGTCCCTGCAGACCTGAGAACAGCAGCCAGAGATCCCGATCCCTGGGGAAGTACCAGCACTCCCCACTGGGAACACTGTGCTGCTTGTTCAAGACTTGGTTTTTCTTATATAAGATGTATTTTTGTTTCTTTTTCTTCCTGACAGAGCCAATATTGGCAAATTTGACCGGATCTGGGACAGAGGAGCTTTAGTTGCTATTAACCCAGGCGATCGTGAACGGTGAGTAATTTGGTTTCTTTAATTACGCTGGCTTTTCCTTTTTGGCCTTCTTCATTTAACGCGCTGTACTTTTCGTGAGCTGCAGAAGATTACTTAAGCCTTTCACTAGTTTGGGGCGCCTGGGTGGCTCAGTCGTTGGGCGTCTGCCTTCGGCTCAGGTCATGGTCCCAGGGTACTGGGATCGAGCCCTGCATCCTGCTTGGTGGGAAGCCTGCTTCTCCCTCTCCCACTCCCCCTGCTTGTGTTCCCTCTCTGGCTGTGTCTCTCTCTGTCAAATAAATAAATAAAATCTTAAAAAAAAAAAAAAAAAAAAGACTTTCACTAGTTTGAAATAGCTTCTTGTATCCAGAATTAGAAGACCTAAATTCAGTACCATCTTTGTGTAAAAAGGGTAGGCTTTGGCCATGGCCGTGGGGAGCTGGTCCAAGGCTTGTGGCTCTGTCACTTCCAAGCTGGGATGCCTTGATCCAGGTCTCAGCTGATTCCTCTGCAAGATGGGGGCATGTCTGCCAAAACCGCTCCCTCCACCTCCACTTTTTTTTTTTTTAAAGATTTTATTTATTTATTTGAGAGAGAGAGAGAGTGAGAGAGAGAGAGCGCAAGAGGGGGTAGGGTCAGAGGGAGAAGCAGACTCCCCGCCGAGCAGGGAGCCCGATGCGGGACTCGATCCCGGGACTCCGGATCATGACCTGAGCCGAAAGCAATCGCTCAACCGACTGAGCCACACAGGCGCCCAATGAAACTTTATTTATTTATTTTTTTTTTATAAAGATTTTATTTATTTATTTGACAGAGAGAGGGAACACAAGCAGGGGGAGTGGGAAAGGGAGAAGCAGGCTCCCCGCTGAGCAGGGAGCCCGATGTGGGGCTAGATCCCAGGACCTGGAATCATGACCTGAGCCGAAGGCAGACGCTTAACAACTAAGCCACCCAGGCGCCCAATGAAACTTTATTTATTTATTATTTTTTTAATAAAGATTTTATTTATTATTTGACAGAGAGAGAATGAGAGAGAGAGAGCACATGAGAGGGGGGAGGGGCAGAGGGAGAAGCAGACTCCCCGCCGAGCAGGGAGCCTGATGCGGGGCTCGATCCCGGGACCCTGGGATCATGACCTGAGCCGAAGGCAGACGCTTAACCAACTGAGCCACCCAGGCGCCCCTCTCATGTTTTAATTTTATTTTCTCCTAAGAGTAGGTACAATAAGAATGGTCAAAAACATCACTAACCAAAGCTCTGACATAATGGTAGCTAATATTCAGACAGTTACGGAGAGTAGCCGGGTGCTTTCCACATACGTCCTTTCCTTTAATCCCCACAACTCCTGCAGGGACAATAATGGAGGGATCATGAGCTTGGGCTTTGACCAAACTCCGTGGGTCTGAGTCTGAATTCTGACTGCGGTCAAGCACCTGATCTCTTTGACCATAACTCAAGCCCTGCCTTGGGCTCCACCCTCCATCGTTCTTCATCTGCAAAATGGGAATGATGGTGGCATATGCCCCACAGGGTTGTTTGGTGGGTTAAAGGTGTTGATAGAGTGTTTCACACCTGACACATGGCAAGTGCCCCAAACAGCTACCGGATAAAAAGTGGAGGTGGAGCGGGCGCCTGGGTGGCTCAGTCGGTTGAGCGACTGCCTTTGGCTCAGGTCATGATCCTGGAGTCCCCAGATCGAGTCCCGCATCAGGGTCCCTGCTCGGCGGGGAGTCTGCTTCTCCCTCTGCCCCTCCCCCCTCTCATGTGCTTTCTCTCTCTCTCATTCTCTGTCAAATAAGAAATAAAATCTTTATAAAAAAATAATAAATAAAGTTTCATTGGGCGCCTGGGTGGCTCAGTCGGTTGAGCAACTGCCTTCGGCTCGGGTCATGATCCCAGGGTCCTGGGATCGAGCCCCACATCAGGCTCCCTGCTCGGCTGGGAGTCTGCTTCTCCCTCTCTCTCTGCCTGCCACTCTGCCTGCTTGTGTTCTCTCTCTCTGTCAAATAAATAAATAAAATCTTTGGGAAAAAAATAAAATAAAAACATGAGAAAGCGTACAGAGTAAAAGATGGCTGCTCCTATGTGCTTTCCAATCTAGTATCACTCACGTATGTACTTGGAGAGAGCATATAGATGTTGAATTAGTTTGTGATATGGAGGCAGACTCAACACATACCCAAAGGCTTGCATCCACATCAGTGAAATAAAATTTTTATTTCTTAAAAATTATTTCATGAGTCAAGCTGATTGCCAAACCTAATCTTTAAGTAGACCATGCCACATTTTCTTTTTTTTTCCTTAAAGATTTCTTTTTTTTTTTTAAGATTTTATTTATTTGACAGAGAGAGCACAAGCAGAGGGAGAGAGAGGGAGAAGCAGGTTCCCTGCTGAGCAAGGAGCCCGATGTAGGACTCGATCCCAGGACCCTGGGATCATGACCTCGGCAGAAGGCAGCCGCTTAACCGACTGAGCCACCTAGATGTCCCAAAGATTTCATTTTTAAGTAATCTCCACCCCGATGTGGGGCTCGAACTCACAGCCCCAAGATCAAGGGTCCCCTCCTCTACTGACGGAGCCAGCCAGGTGACCCTCATGCCACATTTTCTTTCCTTTTTTTTTTTTAAGTAGGCTCCCCAGCCTGGAGCCCAACACAGGGCTTGAACTCACAACGCTGAAATCGAGACCTGAGCTGAGATCAAGAGTCAAATGCTTAACTGACTGAGCCACCCAAGAGCCCCACACATTTTCTTAATATATATTTTCCTTCAGTGATAATTCACACTCCTGTGTTCCTTTTTCTTTCTGTTGCCACTCCTCCTCCTTTACCTCCTCCACAATACCACAGCTCCTCAAGCCCTTCCTTTCTGCTTTGATTGCACGTAGGCAAGTCCCCTTCCTCACACGCCTAGAAGTTGTCATTCCCTAAGGGACCATCCTCAGCTTTGCTTGTGCTTGCCTGTCTCTTGCCCTTGCTTCTTTACTGAGCCCTTCAAGTCTGCTACTTTAATTCAGTCATTCAGCGAACGCGTAGTAGGTTCCAGCCATGTTCTAAATACACACTGTGCCACATGTTGGGGGAAATAACAGAACAAATCATGCCTCATACTTGTCTTTCTCATTGTTACATTTCCAGTTCTGCTCTTCCTCCCAGACCCAGACGTCCACATCATGTTTCAGTGTCTGCTTTGCATTTCTTGTGTGACCTCAGTGTCCTTTAGCAACTCACATTATCCCGTGCGGCCTCTTTGTTTCCATAATACACCACGGATGTCTGCTAAACCCGCATCTGCTGGAGGTCTCCCTGATGATGTTCATCCTCTTCTTTGAGGCTAGTCCTTGCAGGGGCTTTGATCTGTGTGGCTCAAATCCCCAAGTGGGGAGCAAACTGGAAGTCACAGAGCTCACCACGAGGGCAGACCAGGCACACTGTGCTATTTCCCCACTAGCTGGTAGAGTATACGTCTAGCACATAGTAGGAGCTTAACAAATACCTGTCAAATAAACGAATGAAAGCAAACTAGACTCAGAGCAAAGGAAACCCACTGTTTCTGACCATCCATTACCACCTCCTCTGTCCCAGATATAAAGGCTATCTGAGTGGCCTCTGGTCTGTTGTTTCATGGTTACCAATGAGGAGTGAGACCCCATCTAGAAGTCTTGTTTAGGGCATCCAGTTCTAGCTTAGCCACAGACTCTGAGTCCTCCCTGGATCCCCCTCTCTCTTTCCTCACAGCCCAGCCACGTGTGTGTGTGCGTGTGCAAGTCTCTGCACGCGTCTGTGTGTGTATGCGTGTGTGAGCACAGCCCCAAGCACACCTGAGAACATGTTGACCTTTGTTACCAGAATAACTACTTACTTCAAGCCAATAGAAAAATGCATTTCTTTATCTTCATCCTGGTTCTTAACATGTTCGAACTTTATCTCATTCCTGTCATTAACACTGGGCATCTTTTCTGCTTTGATTGCACGTAGGCAAGTCCTGATGTGTTTGCTTGCTGGGCCCCTCAGATGTCTGGCTTAACATAAATCAGCGGGGCAAACCTCTCTCATTTTTCTGAATTTTTTGAAAGTGGTTGAGAAAGTCCACATTCCAAAGGGAATGAAATGTGTCAGTCCTAGGAAACCCTGCCAAACCAGTCTGACTGATCACCTTCATGGGGACGGCAAGTGACTTCTTCCTCCTTCTTCTTCTTCTTTTTTTTTAAGATTTATTTAGGGCGCCTGGGTGGCTCAGTCGTTAAGCATTTGCCTTCGGCTCAGGTCATGATCCCAGGGTCCTGGGATCGAGCCCTGCATCAGGCTCCCTGCTCAGCGGAGAGCCTGCTTCTCCCTCTCCCACTCCCCCTGCTTGTGTTTCTGGCTCCCTGCTATCTCTCTGTCAAAGAAATAAAATCTTAAAAAAAAAAAAAAAAAAAGATTTATTTATTTATTTTGAGAGACAGTGTGAACAGGGAGAGAGAGAGAGAATCTTAAGATTTTATTTATTTATTAGAGAGAGAGCCTGCTCATGAGCAGAGGGAGGGGCAAGGGCAGAGGGAGAAGCAGGCTCCCCGCCAAGCAGGGAGCCTGATGCCGGGGCTCGATCCCAGGACTCTGGGATCATGACCTGAGCCGAAGGCAGATGCTTCACCGACTGAGCCACCCGGGCGCCCCAGGGTTTTTTGTTCAAAAGTTTGCTTTGGTCCAGCACTTTTTCTTGCAAGGACGTGTGACCCCCTCAAGCCAGCCCTAGCTGGGGAGTCTGCTAAAGAGAATAACACAAACTAACCCAGGCGCTTACCTCATACCAAGCAATGTTCTAAGCACTTCATGTGTGTAAACTCATTGAATATGCACCACAACCTGTAAGTTGGTTACTAGTCTCATCCCTGTTTTACAGATGAGGAAACTGAGGCATGCAGAGGTTAAGAATGGTCAAGCTTACGTAGCCACTACGTGAAAAGGCTGGGCTTTGAGTTCCGGCATCTGGCAAAGTGCATACTCCTAACCCCCATGCTAACCCCCCCGCGGCACCCCCCGCAGTTTCTCACAGAGCCCTGGACCGGGATCACAGTACATCCAAGGCCAGGTGAAATCCGTGTGCCAAGAGCCAAGGTGGCTCCCTCAGAGCTGGGCAGTCTGTCCGTCTCTGTCTGTCTGTCCCTCACGGCATCTCTACGTCCCTGTGCCCGTCTCCTCTGTCCTCCTATCCTGCCCATTCGGCTTCCTCTGCCTCCTCCATCTCTGCTCCCGCGTGTCTGACTTCTCACAACTCCCAGTACCAACCCACACACCCCACTAAAGCTCCAGTTCCAGCACAGTGATGACCCCTAAGCAGCACCTCCTTTCTGGGTCTCTCGATTCCGTTTCCCAGCACAGCTCAGCATTCTGTACAGGGCTGAGCTCCCACTCCGGGTCACTGTGCTGATGGGCACCGCCCCAGGCAGTGCCCCCCATTCTGAACCAATCAGGCACGCAGGACGTGGTCTCACCTGCACCCCGCCACACCCACACAAAGGACTGTGCCAACAGCACTCATGGTTTATGCGGTACTTGCAGAGCTTTGATTTCATACTCCCTTGAATTTTTGCCTTTTTTTTTTTAAGATTTATCTATTTATTGGCGGGGGGGGGGGGGCGGGGGGAGTGGCAGAGGGAAAGAGAATCCCAAGCAGACTCCCAGGATATTGTTAAACTGCAGCATCCCAGGCCCTACAGCAAACCTGCCGAATCGGGCTCTGAGAATGGAGCTCAAGCATCTTTTTTTCAGCAAGTGCTCAGGTGACTGATACCCAGCCTGGTCCAGGAAGTGCTGCCCCAGAGCTGGAGTGCTTTGGGATGTGTGTGTTCAAAGTCCCGCAACAGGCTGGAGGGAGCCTCTGCTCGGCTTAATGTGACATCTTCCTGTCTGATGGGCTCTGGAAGCCCACCCCCTTTTGATTCCTGTCTTTACTATTTCCCAGCTTAGGCAGGTGACGGAATTTGCCAACTGTCCGACATTTAGAATGCAAATCAACTTCAGGGGGTCAATTCAAGAATTAAACTCAGGGCGCCTGGGTGGCTCAGTCAGTTAAGCGTCTGCCTTCAGCTGGGGTCATGATCCCAGGGTCCTGGGATCGAGTCCCGCATTGGGCTCCAGGCTCAGCAGGGAGTCTGCTTCTCTCTCTGCCTCCCCTCCCTGCTTGTGCACTCTCTCTCAAAGAAAGAAAGAATTAAACTCAGTAATGTAGAGGACAGTGAGCCTGGTTTCCCTCCCTGCCTCTCTCCCTCCTGCAGGCTTTGCCTTTGTGGAGAATTCTAACACCTTCCTCTGTTGTGTTCTTTTCAGGTATGCAGATATAATGCTGTCCCTAACTCGAAAAGGGTTTCAGTACCTCTTGGCTGTTCTTTCTTATGATCCCACTAAACACGCAGGTAAAGTTTCTTTTGTTTTTCTTTTTTTAAGATGTTGCCTCATTTCCTGATTTAATTCTATGACACGGATAGTATTATCTGCTCCTAATTTAGATCAAGGGAAGAATACTGCTTTTTTATATAGGAAGAAAAGTCTGGTTTGGGTAAATGGAAACTATAAACCTTTTTTTCTTCTTCCGACTTGATACGCGTTTTTCTTGTCTTCCATTTCATTCACCGTTCACAGCTCAGACTACAGAAGAGAGGGAGACATGGATGGCCCTAATATAAAAGAGAAGTCTCATGAGCTCTGGAGTAGGAGGAAGAGAGGCTGGTTGCCCTGCTTTGAATATAGCATATATGCTTCATCCATGCTGGTGGGGATGTGTTAGGTGCATGCCTACAAATACGCACACAGACACACCCTCATAGGACGATGGGTGACACGTGGATGTGGGGCAATAGGAGGTGTGCTGAAATATCTCTAAACTATTACGGCTTTTTAATTTCTGAAATTTTACAATTTATTGCATTCTTTAAGAATGATCTTTGTTTTGAACTTATCAAAGCGTTGTTTTCTTCTGGACTCCTTTCGATGTGCTTGAACATTGTAAGCTTAACCTTTTCCATGACTGAACTTTTATTTTCAGGAAGAAGTGAAAACCAAATATATAGACTTTTATTGTAAAATAATCCCCTTTTTGATTTTTAACAGAGTTTTTTTTTAAGTATGGCGTTTTATAAATAATTACATATGCTAGTTTTTTTCCTGTTTGAGTAAATCAGATCTTAAAAGCTCATTAAAAGATGAGACCTAGTGTCCATAATTAAGTCTGGAACAATCAGATGGAACTAGAAATTAATGGAGACAGACCTCAGCTCTGCTAATCTGATTTAAATTCCATTCCTGCACAGGAAGCTTAAGGCAGGGCTTGTGGGCAGAAAATACAACAGGCTCTGCCTGGGGCTGGAATTCAGAATACCTCTTGAAAGGAGCAGAAGCTAAATTTCCTTTAAAGTAAATGGCCTGCAGCAAAGTGGGAGGGATGTATAGAGAGTGAGTGCAGGAGTCATGGGAAATCGATACCCCAGAAGATGAAGGAAATGCCAAGGAATTTGTTAATGAACTTCATTCTGATTTTAAAATTCCCAAGTTCCGAAAACTGGACAGCAACATGCAAAAGAATGAAACTGGACCACTTTCTTACACCATACACAAAAATAAATTCAAAATGGATAAAAGATCTATATGTGAGAACTGAAACCATAAAAATCCTAGAAGAGAACACAGACAGTAAATTCTTTGACATTGACCGTAGCAACTTCTTACTAGATATGCCTCCTGAGGCAGGGAAACAAAAGCAAAAATGAACTATTGGGACTTCATCAAGATAAAAAGCTTCTGCACAGCAAAGGAAACAGTCAACAAAACTAAAAGGCAACCTTTGGAATGGGAGAAGATATTTGCAAATGACATATCTGATAAAGGGCTAGTATCCAAAATTTATAATTTACAAAACTGAACACCCCCAAAATAAATAATCCAGTTAAAAAATGGGCAGAAGACATGAATAAACATTTTTCCAAAGAAGACATACAGATGATCAACAGACACATGAAAAGATGTTCAACATCACTTATCATTAGGGAAATGCAAATCAAAACCACAATGAAATATCACCTCACACCTGCCAGAATGGCTAAAATGAACAACATAGGAAACAACAGGCGAGGATGTGGAGAAAAAGGAACCCTCAAGCGCTGTTGGTGGGAATGCAAGCTGGTGCAGCCACTCTGGAAAACAGTATGGAGGTGCCTCAAAAAGTTAAAAATAGAACTACCCTATGATCCAGCAACTGTAGTACTAGGAATGTACCCAAAGGATACAAAAATACTGATTCAAAGGGATACATGCACCCCAATGTTTACTGCAGCATTGTTTACAATAACCAAATTATGGAAAGAACTCAAATCCCATCGACTGATAAATGGATAAAGAAGATGTGGTGTGTGTATGTCTATACACACACACACACACACACACATATACAATGGAATATTACTCAGCCATAAAAAAGGGAAATCTAGCCGTTTGCAACAATGTTCATGAAGCTAGAGTATATTATGCTAAGCAAAATAAGTCAGTCAGAGAAAGACAAATACCGCATGATTTCACTCATATGTGGAATTTAAGAAACAAAATAGATGAACATATGGGGCAAAAAAAAAGAGACAAACCAGGAAACAGACTCTTAACTGTAGAGAACACACTGATGGTGACCAGAGGGGAGGAGGTGGGGGGTTGGGCTAAATGGGCGATGGGGATTAAGGGGGCACCTGTGATGAGCACTGGGTGTTGTATGTAAGTGATGAATCACTGAGTTCTCCACCTGAAATTAATATTACACTGTATTTTATTAACTGGAACTTAAATACAAACTCGAGAGAGGAAAAAAGAAATGAAAGGTCCCAAGTCCCATGGCTGGCCCAGCCGTCTCATCTAAGCTGGAGATGGGCACCCAACATTGGCATCCCCTCAGTAAGCCAGTCTCCTTCTTTGGTATGACACGTGCAAAAGAAGAAGCAGAGGAACCTGTCACCTCACCAATCTGATAATGATGTTGTGTATGGAATAACTCTACTGAAGTCCCTGGAAATCAGCTGAGAATTTCTCTTCAGAATTAGATCTATAGAAATTATTCTTCACCCTGTTTCTCTTTTACCTAGGCCCACCATTTTACATTCCAGAAGCTGAAATTAAAAAATTATTCGGTAAGTTGTTTAAATTTTAAATAAAGTCAACAATTAACTGTTTAAGCTGTTACCAACTATTCGTGTCTAGAAGTCTATAAAATCTGAAAGTCAGAAACCCTTTTATTGAAGACTGTTTTATCCTAGAAAAGGGACCGATCTCTGTCATATGTCTTTTTAGCTAAGTGGTGTGGTGTGTGAGAGGCATTTGAATTCTTCCAGAGAGATGGTATGTTTAATTTAGGTCTTAGGAGTTATCAGTGGGAATAGCAATTCAGAGTTCAGACACTTTGCCCTTAGCATTTCCCCATTTTCATTAAAAACAAAAGAAGGGGAGGTGCCTGAGTGGCTCAGTCGGTTAAGCATCTGCCTTTGGCTCAGGTCGTGATCCCAGGTCCTGGGATGGAGCCCCTTGCACATGGGCTCCCCACTCAACAGGGAGTCTTCTTCTCCCTCTCCCTCTGCCCTCCCACGCTCATGTGTTCTCTCTTGCTCACTCGCTCACTCTCTCTGTCAAATAAATAAAACCTTAAAAAATAAGTTCTTAAAAAAAAAAGAGGGGCACCTGGCTGGCTCAGTTGGAAGAGCATCTGATGCTTGATCTCAGGGTCATGAGTTCAAGCCTTATGTTGGGTATAGAGATTACTTAAATAAATAAAACTTAAAAAAAAATCTTCAGTAACACTGCTTTTATAAAATGATTTGATGAGTTTGTAGAAGAACCCCGATTGCATTCTTTTTAAGATTTTATGTATTTATTTGAGAGAGAATACAAGCAGGGGGAGGAACAGAGGAAGAGGAAGAAGCAGACTCCATGCTGAGTGTGGAGCCCGACACAGGGCTGAGATCATGACCTGAGCCAAGATCAAGAATCGGATGCTCGGGCGCCTGGGTGGCTCAGTTGGCTAAGCGACTGCCTTCGGCTCAGGTCATGATCCTGGAGTCCCGGGATCGAGTCCCGTGTCGGGCTCTCTGCTTGGCAGGGAGTCTGCTTCTCCCTCTGACCCTCCCCCTCTCATGCTCTCTCTCTCTCAAATAAATAAATAAAAATCTTTAAAAAAAAAAAAAAAAAAAAAGAATCGGATGCTCAACCAACAGAGCCACTCCGGTGCCCCTCGATTGCATTCTTCATTAACATTTTCACTTGTTTCCCTTTTTTCTTGTTATAGGTTCAATATGCAACATTCATTGCCTTGAGAAGGTTGATGTTTTTGAAGAACGACATAAAAATTGGGGGATTGACTACATTGTTGAAAAGTTATATCTGTGTACGGAAAAGTAAATGAGACGAGTAAAAACAAGTAGTAACATGGTTTTGGGCAATTGACAGTTATGCTAAGGCATGAAAATACCCTGGATGGCTCTTGGGAAAAAAATGTTTACAAGTGACATTATAGATCTTTGTTCACAAATGTGTATAACTTTATAGAAAAGAACATAAACTAGATTGGTAAAGTAGCTACCTTTAGAAAGGAAAGTGTAAAAGAATATACCTGTTTTACTTACAGATTGCAAGAATCTTTTACAACTAGCATGTGTTGTATAATTTTAAAAATTAAAGGGGCTCCCAGCTGTCTCGGTGGAGCATGCGAATCTTGACCTCAGGGTCATGAGTTCGAGCCCCACATTGGGTGTGGAGATTACTTAAAAATAAAATCTTTTTAAAATGTAATTAATTAAAATTTAAAAATAGTTTTTAAAAATAAAATTAAAAATAATAAGTAACTTTTTAAAGTAAAAGGCAATGCAAATAACTTTTTTTTTTTTTAAGATTTTGCTTATTTATTTGACAGAGACATAGCGAGAGAGGGAACACAAGCAGGGGGAGTGGGAGAAGGAGAAGCAGGCTTCCCGCGGAGCAGGAAGCTCGATGTGGGGCTCGATCCCAGGACCCTTGGATCATGACCTGAGCCAAAGGCAGATGCTTAACAACTGAGCTACCCAGGCACCCACAATGCATGTAACTTAAGGAAACAGAATAGGCAGAGAAATGGACACTCCTTATGAAATTTAGAATCACTGAGGTCATGTAACACTTTACTAGTGTTCAAGGTAAAAGACCAAGAAATTATATGAAATATTAGCTTTACTGCAAACCCTCATCTTATCCCCAATCCTAGCAGCCCTTTTCACATTTTTTTCTCCTTATATAATTTTATGGTAACAGAATCAAGAAGCATATTTTAAAATGTATCAATAAACCAACCTATATGGGAAAGGACATTTTTTCCCAAACTGTAAAAAATAAAAATTTTTACAAAGGTCTTTCTCTAAGTTTAGCAGGGTTTTGTTTGTTTGTTTGTTTGGGTTTTTTTTCTTAGTTTAATCTTGTTTAAGTGATAACATCTTATGAAGTACAATGTACTTAGGGCTCGATTCATGACTGTTCATTATGATTCACAGCTTCTCTGTTTTTCATTAGCCTCACTTTGTTAACTCAGACATTTCTCTCTAACCATACAACCTCATACCTAAATGATTTGGATTGTTGAGCTCATGTTAATAGGATGGTGTGTATTATAAAAAAGCAGTTGCTTGATGGTGTGTATGTGAGAGAGTGTATGTGTGTGTGTGTGTGTGTGCTGTTAGTAATGGGGAAGTTTATAAACCCCTTCAATATTGATGAAATCTACAGACACTCCCCAGAAATATGTCATAAGCAGAATACTGTGAAAACTTCCTTAGGCTTCAGAGTTCTTGACCTCCCCCCTCTTCTGCCCCATGCAGGAAGTGCCTTCCCAGATGCTCTCGGGCACTGGCCTTATTCTAATACTTATAAGGTGATTAACTTGGAGTCTCCCGTCTCACAAGGTCCTTGCTTCTCTGCGACCTGCCCCCATCCAGAGGGTGGGCTTCTAGAAGCCATGACTACCTGAGTCCACCTCTGTAGCCAGTTGAATGAACCAAGGATGGATGAATGACCTGAGTTGGGCCAATCCGATTCTCTTTGGGGATTGTTAGGATTGTGGTGGGAAAAGTAAGGTAGCCCCTGAGAGTGGACACACCCGAAATGTGACCCCAGGGACTGTGGGGCAGCCATACCCCAGCATACAGATCTGAGAACTAGAGCATGCTGATGTGCAGAAAGAGGAGTGGAAATGGGAGCTGGAGAAGGGTCCGGGGTGTTCCGGGTTTCTATTTCCTCCCCCTCCTGAAACCCAGCTGCAATGGGGAGATCCCCCCATGTCCCTATGATATAGACCTCTTTTTCTCTGGCTAGAGTTGGTTTCTACAACTTGCACCCAGAGAATCTTAAATAAAATTGAGATATTCATATGTAGTTGATTTTTTTTTTAGAGATTCATTTATTTGGAAGTGCAGGGGGGGAGGGGCAGAAGGAGAGCGAGAGAATCAAACTCCCCACTGAGTGTGAACCCCCACGCAGGGCTCCATCCCACGACCCTGAGATCATAACCTGAGCTGAAATCAGGAGCCGGGCACTCAACCAACTTGAGCCACCCAGGCGCTCTGTAATTGATTTTTTACATATTATGTGCCGTCTTTGGGAGAATATGGACTGTTTAAAAAGTCTCAGGATGGGAGATATACTGTATATAGATTATTTTAGAGTAATTGTTTTTAGCATTTTCTAAAAATGCTTGTATTTTAAATAATAGATCTGCTGACCCTCTGTGCCCTGCAAACAGTGATTTATGAAATGCCCTGCCCTGCCTAAGTTGCAGACATGAATGCACCAGCAGGTGCACTCAGTGTTTTCATGGCGGGCAGGACAAAACAAGAAAAGTGTATAATAGTCTACTTGGATGGTTGTGGAAAGAAAAATACAAAGCTTTTCAAAGCTTTATTACCTACCTGTGGCAAGCTGGAGATTGGGTTCTCTAAAGGGTTAATGGTGTGGGGACCACAGAAGGTTGCCTGAAAGATGTGAGAGAGACTGTCACAAAAAGGGAGTTTCTGGGCAAAAGAACGAAGGGACAAATAAAAACATGACCCACAGAAGAAGTAGTCCAAATAAAGTTTTCCCATTCTCCACTATAGTGCATACCTGTCATTGTTTCTGTGAATAAGGAAGAGCAATTTAGAAGTGTTCATGCTAACATGTATATGTATGTGTATGGCACACTTTCTTTGAAGGTTTAAAAAAAAAAAAGTCTTCTGACCTCTTTTAAAAAAATAAAAATGGTCTTTCATCCTGACAGCTCTGACTTTCCTCACTTCTTATCTGATGTGCTTTTTTTCTTACCAAGCGTTACATTACAAATTCGCCAGAGTGGCTAAGTTGATGGGGACAGGATAGAATTCCATATACATGCCTTAAAGCTTAAAGTCACTCTGCTGGGTTGCAACAAAGAATCACATCCCAGTTTTGTTCATTGTGTGTCGCTTTAATGTGTGAACTGAAAAGGTATCTCTAAAAATCCGTGATCCCTAGCCACTGGGTCTTAACAGAAATTTGTTTCAATATTGGTGTTAACTCTAGGAGCTAGAAGGAATATAAGGGAAGTATTTAGCAATAAGATAGACCATGAAATAGTAACATTTATATTGAAATAACCATAAAATAATACTTTCTCACTACAAACAAACTCAGGAAGCACAGGAAAGTCTAAAGAAGAAACACAGAAGTGGCCAAATCCTATCACTAGAGAGAATGACTACTAATTCTGTGTTGTGTTTTCCTGTTTGCTCCCACGCTCGTATGTTGCAGATGCGTGTATGTTTCTGGAAAGCTGAGATCAATCACAAGACAGTATTGTATCTTTTCTGTCTGTCTTTGGTGTTTCATCAGCCCTTCCCTCATGTCACTAAGAATTCTTTAAAAACAAGATTTTTTAATAGCTGCATCATGTCCTACCATATGGCTGTACCATGATTATCTAATCTTTCCCCTGTGATTAGACCCATTCAGCAAATACAAGTATTCTTGAAAGTCCTGGAGGAAGATGGACGGATAATTAAAGGCAGTCCTGTTCCCAGGAAGCGTAGGCTCTCCGGGCAGAGACTGCACGTGGAACGTTACTCCACTGTGTCGTAGCCTGCATTAGGGGTGCATGCAGGCCCCTCACACCATGAGGGAGGAGGGCACTGCTCAGGGAGAGCAGGTGGGGAGAGAAGAGAAGACAATCAAGGATGGCACCCTGAAACACGTTTTTCAAATTGAGAAACATTAAAATGTCCAGATTCCCGTCACCAGCCATACATCCCCAGCTCATTATTCTGCAGGTGCTCAAGACATTGAAGACACCATTCCGCTCTCCACCAAATCCCTCACCCCTGAGAAACCACACACACACACACACACACACACACACACACACGGCATGAGTGACAAAGTCAGAGAGCTGGTCAGATCCGGTGCTGGAAGACAAGATGGCCCGGGGGAGAGCAAAGCTGCAGACATCACCACAGCCCAGGGCAGGGTCCAAGGAATCACAGGCTGGCCCGAAACTCACACCTGACCAGTGCAAGAGGGATTCGGGTTGGCAAAGGGCATTCTCGCTCTTGGGGGCTCACGAGCCCGTCCTGAAGCTCCTGCTGTCTTTGCTCCCCTTTTCAAAGGTTGTGCATCTCCTCCCTGATTGAGATGCTTCTTTTCTATGGGCTTTCCCCTCTTCCTTTCTTTAAAGTCACTGTCAGGTACAGACTGGGATGTAATGGCGTCATTGGAATCATTCTGGGATTCCTTCGAAACTGCAGGAAAGTGGCATATCTTGCCACACTTGCAAAACCAGGGGTCCGTGTGCCTGAGCAAATAACTCGCCCCTCGGATTCCTCAGCCTCACCTTTGCTGTAACCACCCTGAGCTGGGTCTCAGTTTCCCTTCCCCTGCCAGGTGGTACTTGGCACACAGGTCAGCCACTGACCGCAAGTCCTGTTCTTCAAATCTTTTTGCCCCCACACCCCTCAGCGCTTGTTCTAGGCAGAAGCAGGAAGGCACGGGGAGGCTATTCCAGAACATTCTAAGTGAGGCATGTTGGAGGGAAGCATAGAGGAAATCCACGGAGATCATCATAGGAAGTTCCAAATGTTGGAGCCAGACTCAGGGCATTCCTTTTATTAATCAACGTGTGTATGTATGTATGAAGATTAGACTCGATAAGGTATTTGAGAAACCTATCAAAATTGACTCTAGAGATAAGCAAATGCTTAGCACAGTTCCTGGATAAATGCTACTTCAAAAAAAAAGTATTTATTTATTTGAGAGAGACAGTGTGAGAGAGAGAACAAGCAAGAGTGGGGAGGAGGGGCAGAGGGAGAGGGAGAAGCAGGCTTCCCGCTGAGCAAGGACCCTGACATGGGGCTCGATCCCAGGACCCCGCGATCATGACCTGAGCAGAAGGCAGACGCTTAACGACTGAGCCACTCAGGTGCCCCTAAATGCTACTTTCTACACAATGCTTCCTATAACACTAGACAATCATGATCGAGAAGGTACAGCATCTGGGTTGAACGCTTGTAAGTTGTATCCTTTTAAGTATTCATCCAATCATCCATCTATAAAACGTTTGTTGGGCTTCTCCCGTGTCTTGGGTGTGTGGTAGGCTGGGGACATGGTGTCTCGGAACTCCAGATGTGGTTCCTGCTCTCCCAGGACTTTATCTTTTCCAGAGATAAGAGCAAAAGAAAGAGGGGATGAAGATAAAGAGTAATTTGGGGATTGTTCAGAAAGGAAAATTGGACTCTGTATGTTTTGGTAAAACAGGAAAAGGACAGGTGGGGAGGGAGGGAATGGCTGGGATAGGTAGACAGGAACCCTGGAAGAGTTTGTATTTCTTTCCACAGAGAGGCAGCAAACTATGAAGAAAATGATGTCTAAGGACGCCCGGCTAGAACGTGCAGATCCTCAACAATGAGGCTCAAACATACACGTTTTTAGTTCGGAAGACTTGTGTAATCGAGAAAACCTGAACCCCTGATCAAACACCACAAACTTAGATTTCCATACTTTAAATTTAGCACTAGGGTCTTGGTCTGCGTGCGTGCCACGATGTTTTCCAGAACCACTGTGCTGTCTAACCACATGTGGCAGAGCAAATACTGCTAAACATTCTCAAATAGCTCGGATTTATTGACGCTTTTTCTGGTTTGCCTCGCGGACCACCTCCGCCTCTTGGTGCAGTACTACCGGTTACCCAGTAGGGGGCAGCAAAGGATAAGAAGAAGCGGGTAGGATTCCCAGGGGGGCCTGAGTCACCCTGAAGGGACCGGTCTGTTGAAGATTGGCCATAGTCAACAATGAGCTGGGGTCTTCGGGTATATCTAAAAACAGTGTTAGAGCAGAGACAAGTTAGAAGAAAGTCCCGGCTCAATGAAATCAGCCTGGAAAGCATCTCGGGAAGGCAACATATTAGAGCACAGACTTTGTCTATCTGTACTGTTCCATGCAGTGGCCACCAGCCCACATGTGGAAACTGAGCATTTGAGGTGGGGTCTGTCTGAATTAGGATGTGCTGTGAGTGTAAAATACACCCTAGATTTTACTTAGTACTAAAAAACGGCTGTAAGACTTCGTTAATAATTTTTATAGTGATTACATCTCTAAATGATAATATTTGGGGGTTAAATAAAATATGCATCAAATTAATTTCACTAGTTTCTCTTTTACTTTTTAAAAGGTGGTTCCTGGAAATTTTTTTTTTTAAGATTTTATTTATTTATTTGAGAGAGAAAGAGAGAGCACATGAGAGGGGGTGAGGGTCAGAGGGAGAAGCAGACTCCCCGCCGAGCAGGGAGCCCGATGCGGGGCTCGATCCCGGGACTCCAGGATCATGACCTGAGCCGAAGGCAGTCGCTTAACCAACTGAGCCACCCAGGCGCCCGGTTCCTGGAAATTTTAATATTATAAATGTGGCTTTTGTATTTCTTTCCTTTTTTCAGAGAGAGCGAGCGAGAGAGAAAACAAGCACGAGGGACAGAGGGAGAGAGAGAATCTTAAGGAGGCTGCACGCCTAGCAGGGACCTGACTCGGGGCTCGATTTCATGATTTCATGACCCTGGGATCATGACCTGAGCCAAAATTAAGAGGTGAACACTTAACCGACTGAGCCACCCAGGTGCCCCTCTTGTATTTCTATTAGACAACACTAGTTCTAAAAATATTCTATTTTTGGTGTCCTGAATGTATTTCTTCCCTTTTTTTTTTGGTTTGTTTTTGCTTTTTTTAGTACACTCCACCCCCAACATGGGGCTGGAACTCAGGACTCTGAGATCAAGAGTTGCATGCTCTACCGACTGAGCCAGCCAGGCTCCCCCTGAATGTATATATTTTTAATTTTTTATTTATTAAAAGATTTTATTTATTTATCAGAGGGAGAGAGAGAGAGCAAGGGAGCGCACAAGCAGGGGGAGTGGCAGGCAGAGGTAGAAGCAGACTCCCCACTGAGCAGGGAGCCTGATGCAGGACTCGATCCCAGGATCCTGGGATCATGACCTGAGTTGAAGGCAGACGCTTAACCAACTGAGCCACCCAGGCACCCCTGAATGTTTTTCTTGACTCAAAGATTACTTCAGGAACTAATTTCTATTTGATGTGATTTTAGTTACATTAAAGCTCCCTTGGGGTACAAATCCCGCTTTCTCAGAAGTCTAGCAAATAAGAGGATGAAGGTCATAATATGATTTAAATGAGGGATGTGATCTGGTACATGGTCTTGTAAAAACAATGTCCATGTAAGGCATTATGGGGAGGGATGGGGAAGACTCCTAAAAATGAGAAATTGTAGCATCACAATGGATTCCTGAGAGAGCTCATGTCATCTCCTGTTTGCAGACCTTCAAACACATGGTACATTGTCTCTGTTTTCAGCCTTGACTGAAGCTGGAAGACTTGAGCCTGGTGCTGAGTTGAAGGGGTTTAGGGCAGTGGTTTTCAAACGTGGCTGCCCATTATAATCACCTGGGGAGCTCTAACAAACTCCAGCTGCCGAGACCACACTCTGAACCAATGAAACCTCCAGATGAAACCCAGGTATTCACCATGTGCCAAGTTTACCAAGCTTGAGAACCTCTGGGACAGTTAGGGTGGGCTCTGCAAACTGCCTGACTTCAAACCCCAGCCCAGTCACTTCCCAGCCAGGTGACCCTGGCCAAGATACTTAGCCTCTGTGAACTCTTAACCTCTCTACTGCAGAAAAGGGGTGAGGAAAATAATAAACCCTTAGAGGATTGTCCTGAGCTTTAAATGAGCTAATCTATGTCAACCACTTAAAGGAAGGCAGGCACGGATTAAGTCCCCTAGCAATTATGATCACCAGCTTTCTTATTTCATATTCCTCTGGAAGACATTCCCAGCCATTGCTCCGCCATCTGACACTCATTCACCTCGAGGGTTTCTTCTAGTGTCCTGTATCATTGCTTGGTTCATACACGAATTCATTTTTACAAGAATTCACTAAGCAGCTCCTTTACTACAGGTGTGATGGAAGACAACAGGCACACCTGCCTGACCCCCTCGGTTTTTAACTTCCCTCACTGGTCTGCGTTTCCTAGGGAGATCATAAGCGTCGTGAGCTGTGAGACCACGCTTGGTGCCTGGCGCGCCCTAGCCCCCAGCGCCCGGCACCCAGCGCCCAGCGCCGCGGATTGGGAACTGCGGGGACCACAGGTGGAAGGAAGACTGTTCTAGTTCTTGCTTTGCCACTTACAGCCTGGGTAACCGGGGGCAACCTGCTCGTGCTTCAGTAGCTGTGCTTCCTCGCGCGTCAAGTGAGGTGACCCACCCATGACTGTCGCGAAGGTCGCGGGTCTGCCCGCGCGCTGTGGATACAGCCTGTAAGCGAGGGTCCACTCCCGGGCCCTCCGGAGTCAGTGCCGCGCGCGCCCACCAGGGGACAGCAGGCCGCGCCGCCCAGCGGCTGCGCGCGGGACCCGCGACGTCAGGCCCAGCGCCCCGCCCCGTGACCGTGACCGTGACCGAGCGCCGCGCCCGGGCGCGTCCGGCCCGCGGACCCGCGGCGCAGCGGGAACGCCGGCGGCCGCGCGATGGGGGCCGAGGCGTCGGGGAGCGGGCCGGCGCTGCAGGAGCTCGTGCGCGAGGCCGAGATCAGCCTGCTCGAGTGCAAGGTGTGCTTTGAGAGGTTCGGCCACCGGCAGCAGCGGCGCCCGCGCAACCTGCCCTGCGGCCACGTGGTGTGCCTGGCCTGCGTGGCCGCCCTGGCGCACCCGCGGACGCTGGCCCTCGAGTGCCCCTTCTGCCGCCGAGCCTGCCGGGGCTGCGACACCAGCGACTGCCTGCCGGTGCTTCACCTCCTGGAGCTCCTGGGCTCGGCGCTGCGCCCAGCCCCCGCCGCGCCCCGCGCCGCCCCCTGCGCCCCCGGGGCCCTCACCTGCCACCGCGCTTTCGGAGGCTGGGGGACCCTGGTCAACCCCACGGGGCTGGCGCTGTGTCCCAAGACGGGGCGGGTCGTGGTGGTGCACGACGGCAGGAGGCGGGTCAAGATCTTTGACTCCGGGGGAGGATGTGCTCATCAGTTTGGAGAGAAGGGGGAGGCTGCTCAGGACATTAGGTACCCACTCGATGTCACCGTCACCAACGACTGCCATGTGGTTGTCACCGACGCCGGCGACCGTTCCATCAAAGTGTTTGATTTTTTTGGCCAGATCAAGCTTGTCATTGGAGGCCAGTTCTCCTTACCTTGGGGCGTGGAGACCACCCCGCAGAATGGGGTCGTGGTAACTGATGCGGAGGCAGGGTCGCTGCACCTGCTGGAAGTCGACTTTCCCGAAGGGGTCCTCCAGAGGACGGAAAGGTTGCAAGTTCATCTGTGCAGTCCCCGAGGGGTGGCCGTGTCTTGGCTCACGGGGGCCATTGCGGTCCTCGAGCACCCTCTGGGGCTGGGGACTGGGGCCGGCAGCACCACGGTGAAGGTGTTCAGCCCAAGTATGCAGCTGATCGGCCAGGTGGATAGCTTTGGGCTGAGCCTCTTTTTTCCTTCCAGGATAACTGCCTCAGCCGTGACCTTTGATCACCAGGGGAATGTGATTGTTGCAGATACTTCTAGTCAGGCTGTCCTATGCCTAGGAAAACCTGAGGAATTTCCGGCTCTGAAGCCCATCATCACCCACGGTCTCTCCCATCCTGTGGCACTGACCTTCACCAAGGAGAATGCTCTTCTTGTGCTGGACAGTGCAGCCCATTCTATAAAAGTCTACAAAGCTGACTGGGGGTAAAGGGGTGCGGTGGGGGTTCTGGGGTCTGCAGTCAAAAGCCCTGGAAGGCCACTAATGAATTGTTTAACCTTGGATCAATTAACCTCCTCTCTCCAACAGGGATAATTATAACTGCCTGGCAAACTTACAGAGCTTGAGGTAATTATTAAAGAATAATAATCTACCATTTATTGAGTATGTGCACCCTGTGCTGAGAAATTTGCCAATATTAGCTCAGTGTATTCTTACACCTGTACCCAGGAAGGTAATGTCTGTGATTAATCCCATTTTAGAGATGAGGAAAACGGAGACCCCGAGAGTTCAAGTGACGTTCCCAAGGTCACATTTACTTACTGTGACAGTCACAACGGGAACGCAACTCGGACTCCCCAACCCCTTGCTCTTAAATAAGTTAACAGATGTGAAAAAACCAACATGTGACTGTACATTGTTACTCGGTGTACTCTGTTTACTGGTCGCTGTTTCTTCTGGTTGGATGGGCAGAGAAAGGAGACTTTAGAGTGTTCAAGAGAAAATCAGGGTTGTGTGATGGGCGTGGGCAAGAGTGTCATTCAACTTGCAGCTCCTTCGATGGGGCCTTAGATGGAGGAACTGTGGGTCCTGAGTTACTTGACTAAGGAAAACAGTTGAACTGCCTGTGGAAAAGGTAAAGGTGTCTGTTAGGATCTGTGTCTCCTCCACCACAGGCACTCAGGAAACACTAGTTGGATGGTGCAGAAAAGCCTGTGTGGGGATAAGTTCGGAACCACCGCAGACCATTCCACACTCACACCCTCGTGCGAGAGGCCTGGAAGGCAGGCCTGTCCCATGTGTGCGTTCCTAGAGAGAGAAGTCCGCACAGTCGGCTCAGGGCAGGATGAGTTTGCCTGCCTCTTCATAACCAGTGGTGACCTGAAGCACTTTTGCGGTGGGCCTTTTCTCTGTGCCCCATAAATTTATCCCATTGCACACACTGCGTTCTCAATAACCAGTTCCCTTGATGCTAAGCCAGGCCCCTGGGAAACCCGTGAATACTTCTCGAATTGATACAAAGCTCTGACCAAGATAAGGCCTCCTCTTTAACGTTGCAGCCGATTGAGCGAATAGGGGGAAACTTCAGGTGAAGTGGCCGGTTCTCTATAAACGGTGTTCTTAGCGAATGTCAACATCTCCGAGTTTAGGGTTGCTCGAATAGTACCAAACCACGGGCACATCAGAAGCAGGAGCAAAATAAATTTTTTTTTCTCGGGGAGAACATAGTGGTTTTGAGAGGTAAGAGTTTGCTTTAGCTAATAGCTGATGTTTTATCAACAATAGGTTTCTGTTGTACAAACAGGTTTGATAGATATAACGGACGCACTGAAGATAGCCCCCAAATTAGGAGTAAGCTGTGTTCCAGAGGGTTAAGTTTGTCCTTTGGAGCTAAAAGAGAGACCGTGGTCCGTGCCGGGCCCCAAAAACCCATTGTGCTTTCACTGCTTCCCTCATGTCACGCTAGGATTGCAGGGACCTGGGACCACCACTTGTAAATGCATTCCAAATAGAGATTCTGGGGACAACCTCGTTCCCCCCACCCTTCGAAGCCAAGTTAGGTCAGTGACCTCACAGGTATTCTCATCTGTGTAGCAAGAAAAGGTGCCTCAGGCAGAGATGTAGGTTCAGACTTGGTCATTTGCAGGTGGGACAACTGTGACTGTTAAAAAGTTTTCCTCAGGAACAACGACATTTTAATGGCCTCAGGGTCAGCCAATTCAAGGGACTGTCTCCTATTTGCAGTTATGAATGGCATCATCTTTGACTAGAGAGCTGGGCTTAGGTCTTTTTAAGACAGCACTGGTAGGACAGGAAGAGAATATGCAGCACGTGTAGAGGTATGCGGCCCAGGTGTGACTTGTTACCGTGTCATGACCCAACCAAAAGGATGGGGTGTTGTGAGTCCTTGAGAGGATGTGAGAGCGAATCAGAGAGATGAGAGTGAGTGACCTTGCTTACTACCTCTACCTGTAGATAAGCAGACTTGGGAGTGGGTAGGACAGGATACACAACAGAAAGACAAAAAGCTCCTCCCAGGAATGGTATCATGAAGGAGCAGGGCTTCCCCGGGGAAGACACAAAGCTTCTGGTGCTGGTCTCCAAGCATGCATCTGCTGAGGGAACAGGCTCAGTGACCTGCATGGCACACGCCATGAGGTATACTCCATATACCTCAGAAAAATGAGGAGAACCACACTGGTGAGTGCAGATTTAATTATCCTTACCTCTGCCACAGGACGGAGAAATGCATACTGGTGGTCAATCCTCCACCAATGGAGATACGCTACGGAGGTGTATCATGGTGACTAGGAGAGGAACTCTTTTCTTGAAGGATATGTAGAAAATATGAGAGGAAGACGGCCACAACTCACCACAACTACCATACTGAACTGTCATGGCATCCGCTGTGCCCCTCCCCCAGCCCTGCTGATGAGCCTGACCTTCTCCAGCAGTAGCTGATTGGATAGGAGTGCATCCCTAACTACAGCCTATCCATCAACATCCCACCAAATGTACTAACTGGACCAGAAAACTGGCCTATGAATTGGCCTGGGACGAACAGGTTTTCCCAAAAAGGGGCAAGGAGATCTGATTAGAATTTTGTCCCTGAAGTTGTACATTGAGAAATATGGAGCAAATCAGGCAGATGGCAGCCTGGGAGGATGCTGAGCACATACCAAGTTGGGGGGGAGTGCAGAGCTACAGTGAGGTCACACAGGTAGAACCAGGACTAGAACCTGGATCTTTCTTTAGTCCATATTGACCCCTCTCAAAGGTCAGGGGCTAGGGCTACACACATGCATGTGGGCCCTAGCACTCGCTCTTTTACTGGTAAAGTTCTTATGTTCTTTACAAATAGAACCTTTTGTCCCAAATTTCCTTTAAGTCGGCTTGTATTTCTTTTTATTTTTTTTTATTTTATTTTTTTTATTTATTTTATTTTATTTTTTTAATTTATTTGAGACAGAGAGAATGAGAGAGAGAGAGCATGAGAGGGAGGAGGGTCAGAGGGAGACGCAGACTCCCCACCGAGCAGGGAGCCCGATGCGGGACTCGATCCCAGGACTCCAGGATCATGACCTGAGCCGAAGGCAGTCGCTTAACCGACTGAGCCACCCAGGCGCCCTCTTTTTATTTTTTTTCTTAGATTTTATTTACTTGAGAAAGACAGAAATAGTGACAGAGAGCACAAGCGGGGAGGAGAGAGCCCGACACAGGGCTCGATTCCAGGACCCTGAGATCAGGACTGGCGCCAAAGACAGACGCTTAACCGACTGAGCCACCCAGGCGGCCCTGTTTCTTTCTCAAATAGCACCCAGGTTTGTATGCACACTGGCCCAAGAAAACACCATGGTATTTCCAAATTACCAATGAGACCATGACCGGGAGGTCCAGCTCTTTATCATTGCATGGTAGGCCCCTGAATCCAGAGTCATGAGGCTCTGCCCCAAAGGGGCCACATAGCTTCATTGCGTTTCATGGTCACCAAATAGTTCATGGTCCCTGTTACAAAAAGGACCCTTTGGTTCCAAGGCAGCATGATGAAGAAACTGAAACATAACTAACATTTTCGTAACACTTGAAAATTGCTCCACAAAGCTGTTCATTTATTTGACCCTCACAGCATTTCTGAGGTAGACAGGGCCGGTCTCGTCAGGGTGACCTGACCAATAAGGAAGCAGAGACTGACAGATAGAATCGGTGAAGCGTCTGCCTTCAGTTCAGGTCATGATCTCAGGGTCCTGGGATCGAGCCCCACGTTGGGCTCCCTGCTTAGCAGGGGGCCTGCTTCTCCCTATGCCTCTGCCCACCCCACCCCCCGTTCATGCTCTCTCTGTCTCGCTCACTCTCTCACATAAATAAAGTCTTAAAAAAGAAGGAGGAGGAGGAGACTGACAGAGAAGGAATCGTATCATGATTACAGCACCAGATTCTGTTATGTTTGGGTTTCAGGGTTGGGGGGGGTAGCAAGTGTTTTCTCTAATCTCCCTCAGGTGAGTCTCTGTGAAGCCAGGGTTGGGTCCCACTGCTCTAGAGAACAAACAAATCCCAGCCATCCCTTGGTGGGCTCACATCTACAGTTGACATCAATTTGCATCAGCACCAGGCCACCCCCCAGCTTTCAGAGCTCCAGCTCCAGGGGTCCTGTCATTTCCCAAGGGCCCCACAATCTGCCCCACACTGCCTTCATTGAGGTGCTATGGAGAGAGGCCTGTTTCCATGGCAAGAGCGAGAAGCTCTGACTGGAGGGCTCTAAGTGAAGGAAGTTGAGTTCTAGTGTTTCCCGGAGACCCATTTGTGAAAGAAAAATGAAATGTGCTTGTGAGTTTTAGAAATCAGAGAATGTCATGCTTTAGCTGCCTGGCCCACCGTGGCCGGGGGCTCTCTGATCTGACATGGAGTATCGTGCAGGGCTTCCCTCCTAAGTGGCGGAGGAACTTCCAAAGTCAAGGGCTGAGTGGCAGGGTCGTGGCCTATGAAACACTGGGGCCCAGTGTTCTCTTCCATTTCTCCCTCCTGCCGGGTGCCCTTTTCTTGGAGTTCACCACCGCCCCCGCCAATTGTGGAAGCAACATACATTCATAGTAGACTTGGAAAACACAAATGAGCATCAAGATATCTAATCACTTTTAATTAGAGGAAACTACTGTTACCATGTTTGAATTGAGTTGACTCATCACTGCGGAACGAGTATTCCTGGAAATCACTTCATAGATCCTGATTTTGCAAAACAGCGAATGTGTCACGTAAATTGCAAGCTCTTCTGCAAAGTACATTTAAGTCGAGGCATTTAGCTGAAGTTCAATTTTGGAGATCCCAAAACAGGGGAAGCAAAAGCACCACGGTAGAGGGAGAGAGAAGGGTACTCACCAAATATTCAGTCTGCCCTCCACGTTTCCCAGTCTCTCTGGTTCAGTATGGCCATGCGACTAGCTCTAGCTATGAGCAGAACCCAGGACGAAGCAGTAGAATCTCCGTGAACTGAGAACAAAGGAAAAGCAAAGATACAGGAACGTGTCGAGGTGAAGCAGGGGTCTCAAGTTTCATAATGCAAGTATCGTTATTTACAGAGATAAAATACTATACTTAGATTTTATACAAATTTAAGTGGGCTCTAATTCAGCTCCTCGTCTTTTCAACCATATTGAGATTTGCATTATCACCAGGAAAGTTCAGGTTAGCATATGTTTTCAGGATGTATTTTTTTTTTTTTTTTTTTTTTTTGCCAATCAGGAGCGTAGTTTGGCCCTGCGACAAAGCAAGCAGGAAGAGCTGCTATAAATACATGAAATCAGCATTAGCGGGGCTGTGGGCTGTGTGGTGCTGGGTGAAGCTGCACGGTGATGCACGTTAGAATCACGGGAGCTTCCTGCTCCGATTTCTTCACATCAGCCATTTCTGCATTCTGATGAGTAAAAC